CGACCATCCGTCCGACCGACCGACGATCCGTTCCGACCGACCGACCATTCGCCCGACGACCATCCGCCTGCCCCGACCATCCTCCGACCACCACCTTCCGACACCATCCTTCGCGACCGACCATCCTTCCGACGACCGAATCCTCCGACCATCTGTCCGACCTGTCCATCCGTCCGACCGTCCATCCGTCCGACCGTCCATCCGTCCGACCGTCCATCCGTCCGACCGTCCATTCATCCATCCGTCCGTCCGTCCGCCCGTCCGTCCGCCCGTCCGTCCGCCCGTCCGTCCGACCGCCCGTCCGACCGCCCGTCTGTGTGACTGCCCGTCTTGCCGACCGTCTGTCTACTCACCTAGGCAATTCTTTTTTTATTTTTCACACTGCCTCATCGTTCCCTCACCTGCTAGTGCCAGCGCACGTTTCGCGAGCAGAAGAGCCGCGCCGCTGATCTGATGGCTCCCAGCTGTCGAGTGCGTGTCGGGAAGAGGGGGATTATGGCGCGTGGGGCGGGTAGCGCAGGCTCCCACGTTTTAATCTTTCACTCGCATCCGCAGAAAAATGCCGTTTCATGCTCTCCAGGGTCGACGGCCCTGGACGTAACCATATTATTATCGACCCACGGAAATTTAATTCTATTTTTCGTCGAAATATTCAGCTGAAATGTATCTCTACATTACATTTCAATAGCAATTTTTATCGCATCCAATTCCGTCTGTTTCTTGTGCATACTGCGTCAAAACAATGAAATAGTTTGTAAGGAGTTCCTATCGTCTGCATTGTTACGGAATTTGTATTAGAGGTGCGTAAAAATACTAAAAAAGATATAAGACTTTTAGCACAAGGATAAATAATTAGCATATGAAATAACTGCTACTTTTCAACGCAAACAGAAATTGAAAGAAAACTACGAAGTCTCTGGACACGTGAGAGGTTTCTTGAGTTTTGTAAGATACTCCGGAACTCAGAAAAAAATACAGAAACAATTTCGAGTTCAACTGAAAAATGCAAATACTTACTTGTGATATTCAGTCTGTTCTCCTACTGCGCGTGACAACTCAATTCTCATATTTAGTGCCTCAGTCTTTACAACCCAGTTATATTTATGCTACAAACTCTACAGAAGAGGTAGCCCACTGTTCAGCATTTGCTGTTCATGCAAGCAGTGTGGGTTCTACACTTTCGAAAATCATTGTGCGGTTTTGTACGGCTCCATTTTTACCGCTGCATTCCATTAGTGTCATGTTATTTGCAGACAATTGAATTCAAAATCCATTACAAAATTTATCTTAATTAAGAGAATTACAAAATAAGCACTGAAGAGAATTCTAGCTCTCCTTCTATTCTTACTGCATTCTGTAAATTGAAATGTGGGCTGTGAAATTTATTTCTGGTTGTGACGTCTTTCCTGGAATTCCAATTCAAACGAACAATCTTATTTTGAAAGTAATATGATTTTTTCATTTATATTCTTTAATGTAATAATGTTTTCGAGAATATGTATTGCAAAAATGAAG